ACATAAATCTGAAGATTTGTGTTTTTAGGTGCATTTTGTTGAACACTTTGCTTTTTCAGGATGGAGCATTAAAYCAGAAAAGTGATTTGATTGAACAACAAGCTTTCATGGAGGTTTCACAAATAGTCAAAATGTGGAAATAATTTACGTGAATGGATTTGAACTGGTTCTCTTGATTCTTTTTCTGCAAATAACTGCTGTTCTAATTCAGTGTTACATAAAAAATAATGACAATAAATTATTTTAGTTAAACTATATTTTAGAATGTTATCACTCTACACGTGTGTCAAACTCAAGGCCCGTGGGCCAAATGTGCTCAGTGGGTGACTCCCACCTGGCCTGCCAAGGGGGGCACCCCAGAAGCACATATAATATTTAAATAATATAAAAATTGTTGTTATATCAATGGTAAACTTTAAATTTATGATTAAATGCAACAAAATAAACAAATTAAAAAGGTGAAAGGTAATAATACTCATCCTGCCCTTGAGCTTTTGGCTTTAAGTAACTGAGCAATTTAGTTGATAGAACAGTATTATGTCTCTAAATGAGCTGCTTTAAAGCCAGCGTTGACCATAAACTACATCTCCCATAATGCTTTGGATTATGAGTGGGAATTCCCTGTAGGCAATGCGAGAGTTCAGAATTTGACTGCAGCTATTCACCACAACTCATCAGTGAGTAAAATTCTCCTACTTTTACTTCTATTAGTATTTCTGTAGTATTTAATTCACATTTAGTCAGTTGTACTCGTAGTACTTTTTATTCTTCATAACCAGACGTGTTAAAACACTGTTTCTATGCTGGAAATACCAGGTAGAGCTCAGTTATTGTTTARCGGTGCTCAGCCGTAGCAATGAGACGAGGAACATGATGTTTTGTGTTTAGTTGACGTTAAATTTGAAATGTCAAAGTTAACCACAACTGGCCCTTTGTGGGCCACCATAACGCTCCTGTGGCCCTCGGTGAAAGTGACTTTGTGACACCCCTGCTTTAAGACCTAAAGAGACACTTAGAACCCACTGTGTTTTGGACATGGGTCTGTGTGTTTGTGTGTGTTTGTGTGTGTGTGTGCAACCACCAAAAATGGAGGATACTTTAAAAAACATTTTTTGCTCAAAAAGCCAAAATTCTGCAACTGCTAACTTCAAACTTTAATATAAAATAGTATTAATAAACACAATGCACCATAATTTATTAGAAGGACATGTTTTGCTGCTCTGCTCCGTATTTACTGCAGAGCTGCTAAAAAAACAACAACAAAAAAACAGCAGGAGTCTGTTGTTTTAATGTAATAATCCACGTCACGAGTTTCTGTTTCCTTTCTCCAACAGAACTCAGGAATAGACATCGGGGACATCTCTGAGAGAAAGGCCCTTCGCTCCAAACTCAGGTGTCGACCGTTCAGCTGGTTCCTCTCCAACATCTACCCCGAGCTGCGCTCCTACAGCAACACTGTCGCTTACGGAGTGGTGAGTTTCTCTCGTAAACTCTCAGATGGAGTAGAAAGAGGGTTTTGTTTGTTTGTTTTTGGCCTTTCCCAAATGAGCTTGATTGAATGGCTTCAGTTAGTGATTGTTTTAATAAGGTTTTGGAGTCGAGGCCTCTGTAAACACCTAACCTTACATGGTTACAGTTTGACAGATGTGGACATAAAACGAGGTGAAAGTCATCCCGACACATACTGTATGAACTTCAGGCACAAACTGATAAAAAAAATATTTGTTCCTGGTTTTGATATTCAAGGCTGATTTCTGTTCTTTCATTGAATCCAACTTTTTAATCATGACATTATTTGTAGAAAGGCAGAAATAACACGCCATCCGTGTGGAAATTTGTTCAGTTAATGAAACTTCAGTGACTTGTTAATAAAATGTGTTATTTATATTTGTTTGTTGAGCCAAGGATTATTTGCAATTTTTGGTGGGTTTTAATTTATTTTTGCATCGATCTGTAGTGAGTTTTCCAGCAGATTTTCACTGATGAAGAGGACAGTTTCAAAACAAACACAGATTTTTTTATTCCTTTAACACCTCCTTATGGTKAAAGTTTCCATTAATCTTTTCTGTTCTTTACATTAAACAGAAATCCTTTCACACAACACGCTTTATTTAAAGACAGGCAAGAAAAGTTTTGACTTTTTTATAACCCCTAATTTCTGAATTTCAGTTCCTCTCTCTCTTCAGCTGATGGCTGTAGGAGGATTTTTGCATAATTGAAAAATGACATAAATCTGTTGAAAGCTGAGCAGTTTTATCTGCCCACCGCTATGACTTGTGCAGCTGATGGAGCAGGGAAACGGGTAGAGAGGTAGAAGTGAAGCATTAGCAGAAAGAACAAACTGAACCTSTTGTGTTTGTTGTTTGATAAACAGCTTCATTCAGATTCTGATCCTGGAGTGGGTTTTTTTTTTGGTGCCTCTGCTGAGCACCAGCAGGAAGCCAGCTTTGTGGAAGTGWGATGAAAACATTGCAAATGTGACATCTGAAGGATGCAGATCTGACTKATTTTACAAAAGCAGCACGGCTCAGGAGACTCCTCATGGAGCGAGAACAACGAGTGTTCAGGTGTGAAACCATCTGTTAAAAGCTGTTTACACTTTCTTTTGTTTTTTTAATCAGCCTTGTTTTACAAAAGCTGAGGCCATGCACTTGTTCACCTGAAATAAATGCAGAGGAAAATAATATTTTGTGAACGTTGTTATTATTAMCAATAATAACAGGAGGTAATTCCTTGAAGAAATGCATAAAAACACTGCCATTAATGCCAAAGCAGGGGCGGAGCTAGACATTTTTGCATGGGGGCAGGGTGGCCAAGGTGTTTTTTAGAGGGGCACATACAAATACAGCGGGTAAAATAAGTATTGAACACGTCACCATTTTTCTCAGTAAATATATTACTAGAGGTGCTAATGACATGAAATTTTCACCAGATGTTGGTAACAACCCAAGTGATCATACATACAAAGAAATCAAACCATAAATGTCMAGAAATGAAGTTATTTGTAATAATGTGGAATGGCACAGGGAAAAAGTATTGAACACACTTACTGAAATTTATCTAATACTTTGTACAAAAGCCTTTGTTGTCAATGACAGCTTCAAGACGCCTCCTGTATGGAGAAACTAGTGGCATGCATTGCTCAGGTGTGATTTTGGCCCATTCTTCCACACAAACAGTCTTCAAATCTTGAAGGTTTCGTGGACCTCTTCTATGAACTCTGATCTTTAGTTCTTTCCATAGATTTTCTGTTGGATTCAGGTCAGGTGATTGGCTGGGCCATTCCAGCAGCTTTAGTTTCTTTCTCTGAAACCAACTGAGAGTTTCCTTGGCTTTGTGTTTGGGCTCATTGTCTTGCTGAAATGTCCAGCCACGTTTCATCTTCATCATCAGGGTAGCATACTGGGCCCATTGCTTTTCCTATTATACATAAATGACCTTCCAAAAATATTGAAATATTCAAATATTTTAATGTATGCTGATGATATTGTTCTTTTTTTTATCTGATTTCAATATTGAATCTATTAATAGTCAGTTACAAGCAGATCTTCAGACATTTCATGGTTAGCTTCAAGATAATATTTTGTCAATTAATGTTAAAAAACTGTGTGCATGTATTTTTCCTCACCCAGGAGACATTTCAATAAAACAAATCAACTCACTTTTTTAAACAAACCCCTTGATATTGTCACTACCTACAAATATCTTGGAATTACTTTGGATTCTCATTTGACTTATCGTGATCATGTACAAGTCTTAACCACTAAGTTGAAACAGAAATTATACGTTTATTCAAAAATTAGATCCAATCTGGCATCTTCTGTTTCAAATATCTATCTTAATGCCATTATACTCTCAACCATGTCGTACTGTTTACCTGTTTGGTCTCTTACAACAAATGAAATCTTAGAACCCATAGTTAGGCTCTACAACAGGGCCTACAAAATTCATAAAAAAACTTCCTGGTTGGACTCATCACTGTACAGTTCTTTCATTGTCTGATGCCTTGACTTTTCAGAATTATGTTTTGTATAGTGGTATTAATTTATATTTTCAGATCTTCCAAGGTGCCAATTATGGAACTCTCTGTGCATTGTTGCCCAAATCAAATTCTGGAAGTGGTCATTCAACTAGATCTGTTACTAAAGGACAACTGATATTACCAACTTTTAAAAACTGTTACGGCCAGAGGTCTTTCTTCTATGTTTATACTAAAGCATGGAATGACATTCCTCAAAACATAAAGTCCATTTCAAAACTACAGCCCTTTAAGAAGAATCTTGTCTGCCATCTGCTGGACACTTTTTGTTGTGCTCATATTTAGACGTCCTATTTTGCAAATGCTGCCTTTTTGAAATTTGGTATGCTTGTTTGTCTTTGTGTCTATGGTGTATAATGATGTAATTGTGATGCTGTAATTCTGAGTGTTTTATGTGCTGCAGAACAGGAACCCGCTGTAAAACAGCAATTATGCTGAGTCAGGCTTGATTTTTTAATAATCTTTTCCTGTTAAATAAATAAATCAAATCAAATCAATTTAGTGTTGTTAAATATTATTGCTTTTTGTAGCCGCTCGGCTTTGAGGCAAACCGTCTGCTCAGTGTTGGCACATTTAAAAACCCTTTGGGGGAAAGTTTCTTGATGCCATTTGAACTTCTAGATCTCAAGTCTTTGAGACTTTCTCACTCTTCTAGCTGTAGTGGTGCCTTCGAGCAAAATGTTGATTTATTAACAAGCCCCCAGCTTTAGCTGCGCGTAGCCGAGCCCGACCTCTAACCTCGCCGCCCAATGACGTGAGAGGGAAAAGAAAATCCCTGCAGGGGATCAATAAAAGATCAGATTATTGAACTGCTGTTTGATGTGCGACAGCGACATGAGATATTGTGTAATAGAAAGCTGAGCTGGGCTCTCAGAGGCTCGAGCACGCTGCTGAAATCCCCCCAGGACTGAGCGTGATGCGACTGCAGAGAGGCGCTGCGGTGCAATAAGAAATTCGAAGCGAAGATGGTGATTTTTCTTAGCGGCAAGTGGCTCGAATGAGACCAACTTTTCTGGAGAATAAAAGAGAGATCTATGTACGGGGAAGATATTGGTAGAAATGAAGGTTCTACCTCCTCTTTGCTCATCATAAACTCTGAATGTGGCACATTCAGGATGGGATTTAGTGTTCAGCCGGCGGCTTTCCCATTCATCTTTAAAGAAAGAATATTTGTACGCGGCTATGCTACATGAGGACTGAAGCTCAGACCTGAACAGATAAACAGACGTTTCTATTCAAATCATCTTTCTTTAAAGGTCACTTGAATGGTGGATTTAAAGATGGGTGCCATTGAATATTTATAACGCTGTGAATGTAGAGCACGAGGCTCGACCACAACAAATCAGTTTTATGTGAAAAACACTCGAATGCCTTCAACAAAAGTCTGATGTTTAGATTCACGAGCAGTTTGAATAATGTGCAGCAGATCAGCTGTTTTGTTCATTTTTTTCCTCGTTTTTCCACGAGCGCTGAGCAGCTATTTTTAAATTTACATTAATTCACTCAGCAGATGCTTTTACCCAAAGGACCTAGCAGTGACTTACTCACACAGTGATTAGTAAATCAGGGGATCTGCTTCCAGCTGCCGCTGAAAAACCTACAAATTAATAAATAAATGCTGACAAATGTCACTCAGTCAAAGTGAGCGGTTAAACCACAGCTTAAGAGCTCTGARTGTTTCAGTTTTAACCACAGTTGTATTTTATTTTTCGCTTGTTTTTCTCCACCAGCTTTCCTGAAAATCCTGCTTTGTTGTGTTTTTTAACCAAACAAAAGGCACCACTTAGTTTTTTTTTTTCTGATTGTGTTACTTGAGTTTTGAAAATAAAGCCCCCGTTTCCTCAAAACACTTCACACAATTAGTACAATCACACATCCTAATTAGCTGAACACCCCAGATCTTTGGCCAAACAAAACACTATTTTTGAAATATTGCACACTAATTGCTGAAATCTGTTTTTTGTTGCTGTCTCAAACACAAGGTTCAGCTTTGTTGCGTGTCCAGAATAATGTTTCTGATGGATTAGACTTCTTCCAACAGGACAGCAGCATTTTTGACACGTGGGCTGGTTCCGACAGGGTCCAGACCTTAAAGGGGAGACATCTGCAAAATCCACTTTTTTAGCTGTTAAATACGTTTTGTTGTGGACTTGGGAGTCTCTAGGAGGCAGAAAAGTTGAGTTTAGTCTCTCCATGTGCTGCGGAGATATCTTTATCTTCTGTTTGGGTCAGATTTTTCAACCTGTTCAATTTTCTCTATTTTCTACGATGTTTTCTGGACTTTTACGTCAAATAATCTGCGACAGAACTGCTAAACTCTGAGACTCTGGCTCCAACATGAAAGGTTGTTGACATCTTTTAATTAAATTGTAAGAAAACATTTGTGCAAACTGCAAAACATAACACACACACACACCCTCTCTCAAATCGGAGTGGATCGGTTTGGAAGCTGGAGGGGGGCGGGGCTTGAAGCATCTTAAAGGAACTGTAACAAAATGAGCTGCTTTGAGGCACACATGAGAAAAGCGGTGCGAGAGGGGCTGGTGAGGTTAGAATAAGAAGGAATTCAGATCAGACGGCCTAAAACACAAACATCAAATATTCAAAGAAGAAAAAAAATACAAAACAATCCTATCCTGCAGCACTGCAGTCACTTTTTCTGTGGTTTGATCACTGGTTTGAAACATGAAATTGATTTAAGAGTCAAGTTTTCTTGGTTTAGTTTTTTTTTTTACTTGATGACTTTTTAAACATGCAAAAGCAGCTGCTGCTATAATTTAGACAAACTGCATGCACAGTAACTGTGATGACTTGCAAACACGACAACAAAGACTTTTGTCTTACAAATAAGAAGAACAAAGACAACCTGAAGTTTGGCCCACTTAGCTTTTAATTGTCCGTGGAAAGTTGCCAAACTCAATGAATAACTTTGAAATTCAAGGTGATTTTTCCTACTGAAATATTTCTGCACAGCTGCCAAAAACAGTTGAAGGTTAGTGGGAAGTGTCTGCATGACTTCCTCTTGGCAGCCAGCAATTAGCCTGCACTGGTTCCATTTGGTACATTTTTTTAACCGCAGGCCTGGAGCCGTGGAGTGTGTCTGTCAGAATGAACTGATTAATATTGTAACAACATGAAAAGAAGGAAAGGACCAATTAGGATTGATAGAAGCCATTTTACCAAGTGGTTTTAGTTCAACATGTGTAGAAACAGGAAATATTTTAGAAAACTATCTTGTTGTTGTGTGAAACACAACAACTCACCAATGCAACAAAAGCCTGTACCGTATTTTTCGGACTATAAGCCGCACCAGACTATTAGCCGCACCCCCAACATAAAAAAACAGTACACCCAAAATTGTCATCAAAAAAGTGAATTCAACATCAAAACATGAAAAGCAAACCTTTAGGAATTAAAGTTCGGAAGAATACGGTTCATTTAACTGACCTTATATTGGTCGTTTTCTTTAACAGTTTCTGGTCCAACAAAACGTCTCATTCATCGTCCTCCGGCGCACTGAAACCATCAAAGTCCTCCTCTTCAGTGTCGGAGTTAAACAAGCTGAGAAAAGCTGCGTCACACAGCGGTATCTGTTGTCCTCCCGGGGTAATGCTGGCTCTGAAGCTGTGGTGTCCTCTTCACGTAGCAGTCCAGCCTTTCAGAACCCATTGGTGATGTTGGACTCATTCACTCTGCTCCACGCTGTTAGGATCCACTGGCAGACATCAGGAAATGACACTCTTCACATTCGGCCAGTTTTTGTGAATGATTTATCCCCGTCAGTCATCCAAGCCTCCCATTCAGCCCTGAGGGCTGCTTTAAATRCACGATTCACACTGATGTCCAGGGGTTGTAAAAACTTTGTTGTACCTCCAGGAGTAACAGCAGGAATTGAGTTTGTTTTCTTGATGGCTGCTTTCACCGAATCCGTGATGTGGGCCCACATACTGTCCAATATCGTGTCTGTCGAAGATCCGTCGTGTCTGCTACTAGCTAAAACAAAATGGCGCTACACCTCCGGCTAAGCTGGCAGTATGGTCGCTCGGCTGTCGACTGGTCRACGCACCGTCACGTGATTGTTCGGCGTTTGTTTTCACACTGACCTTTCATAGTTCCCCCGAGAAACCCCGAGCCGAGCTGCTGGGAAAGCCCTCCCGCTGTATGGGATTCCTTCCCCGGGGAGTGCAATGCCGGGAAAAAAAGTCAGCGTCTCTTCACTCGACGTTTATCACAAACTGGTCCTGGATTAAGCTCCAAAGTTTTTATCAGTCAGATTCCACTGTGAAAAATGTCTGTTTTATTCCCTTTTATGAGTTTTTGGCCACTGACAATCTTTAAATCGCTGCTTCCTGGTACAACAGTCGGCTCTGGAAGCGATCGCTTTTTTCTTCTTTTTTTTCCTTTCATTTTTTTGAAGCGAGTGGTTGAAGCAAATGGAGCATAAGAGCCCCCTGGTGGCTGAAGAAAAAAATCCATGTATAAGCCGCACCGGACTATAAGCCGCATGGTTCAAAGTTCAGGAAAAAAGTCGCGGCTTATAGTCCGAAAAATACGGTAATTGTCAACGAAAAGTTGTTTATATAAATCTAAAGTTAGGTTTAGCTTCAAACAGACCAAAAGTGAAGGCTGGAGGAACAGAGTAAAGACACATCAGACTATTTATTCAACTTTTAAATTGCTGCTTTATCTTGTCTGCTTGTTTTTACTTTTTTTAGCTCCCCTGTCCCTGTGTTTTCTGTAACCTTTGACTTTGACTGATTGTCTCCCCGTGCCGGGCGCCTTTTGGAGATTAATCATGTTAACTCTGCAGCTCCGCGTGCGTAAATACAAACAATAACTCATTTCTAGAGACAAACACATGGATCATTTTTGTCTACAAAACTGCAGGTTTTTACAAACAGTCCACGTTAGTCAGGCCAGGAGGCAAAGTGAACGCAGGAGGGAGATGAGTGTCGAACTCTATTTTTATTCTCCTTTAAAGCTGCTTGTTTTATTCAGCTATCAAATAAATCAAAATAACCAATTTCAGAAAGGGTGTCTTTAAAAGTTGAAACGCTAAATTCCCACAACAAAAATAAATTAAATCATGGAATTAGTTTGTTTATTTATTTGTTTATTTATTAGGATCCTCTGGGGTCCTTGTGAAGCAAAACAAACCAAACTGAAGGTAGATATTGAACAGGGTTTACGGTATTTGTGAGTGAGTGAGTGAGTGACTGAGGTAGTAAATAATTAAGTGAGTAAATAAACAAACTGTAGGAGAGCTGCTCCTTTATTCCCCAAATGCTCAAATCTGCTGAGTCAGAATATTTTTGTGTGAGTGAAAAGAAAACAAAAAGTTTTTATACTCTCTGTTTTTTCTGCTCCTCCCTGATATTTTTCCAGTTGAAGAACAGTTTGAGGAATGACCTCTGTCTGGACCAGGGACCGGACACCGACAACGTGCCCATCATGTACCTGTGCCACGGCATGACGCCTCAGGTCAGTGACCTCTCACTCCAGTCTCTCCTGACGTGTCGCTGTAAAAATGATGAAACGGCAACAAACAGCCGTCACACAGAGAGGCAGTCAGCTGCAGAGAACCAGACTCCTGGAAACTCTTTGATGTTTTAAAGTCTTTTGAGGGACTTTAACGTTACTCACCACGTCCTGATGCATCTCAGTAATCCTGGTAAAAAATCAAAAAGAAAAAAATAGTATAGGTCTTCTGGACG